CCACAGGTCTTACGTTGTTTAATGCAGCATTAGGACTTATTGCGTTTTTGATAGGCCTTTGCACATCGAAAAGTAAGATACGTATAATAATAATTTTACATCGTCTTATAGGAATCCCAACTATAATTGCATCTTCGGCATGTTTTATCAGTGGTGTAATAAATGTTTCGTTCAGAGAGTGGGTGCCAACAGTTGAAATGTACTACAGTTTATTGATATTTTGTGTTATTTACACAATTATTGTAATATATAAACCTTTTAAGAATTTATAAATTAACATGCAACCCTATTTGTAGAATTTTTTAGTTTTATTCGGAATATTATCAATAATTATGAAGCTTATATTTTTTTATTACTTTAATATTATACCGGGATCACCGCTAAAATATTCTTTTTATTTATTTTAAATGGTGTGAAATATTATGCAATAATGACGTTGTAGGCTGATGATGAAAAGGTAATAAATTTTAATCAAATTTGAATTTAATTCAAATTTATTTAGGGATTGAGAAGGGTTTACCGATTTTGACAAATTATGGGTCAGATACATTTTGGTTTCGCTAGTGTCACGTAGTCCACGTCAAATATAGAAATTCAGAATGACTCGATTTGACAATACTTAAATAAGGTTATTGGGTTTTCAAACAAAGTTATGAAACGAAAAAAAGTTCCAAAAGTAATTAAAATTTATAATACAAGACAGAGTAAAAAAGGCTTATGTTTTAATATGTAAACACAAAATATATATATTTTAAAATTATTTCAGAATTTCGTTTCCATCATGTTGTGAATATTTAATTATACACAGTATTTTTTTTAAATTCTCTGAAAATGAAATATTTGAATTTATTTTTGCTCAGAGTTCCAAAATGACAATATAAATTTGTCAAAATTGAAATAGTTGTCAGATAACTTTTTATAAGTATATACATATTAGATATAGTTAATCCTGGATAGTGTCCCCTCCATTCTACAGAATATACTGTGCACGTCTTTACACCTATGAAGGCCATATTTTAAGTAACCAACTAACTACATATTACGTATGGTTGAGAGATCTGATGGAAACAATGAGTCAAATAGGAACTCAACCTCTAAAGGGAAAAAAATTCTACCATTGCGGATCCTGATCATAGAACCCAGTAATCGTTACTGTAGAAATGTTTGGTGTGCAATATTCAATGGTCTCTCTCACGTTTTAATAGGAGCTGTTGTTATGACGGTACTATTCTATTCAGTGGTTAAGAATGATATTCATGCCTCATTGTGTACTTTTGGTGTAAGTATTCTTAGGTCTTCTTCTATTTATAGTTTATATGTACTTTTGAGATAAGTAGGACCAGTAGTATTAACATCTGTACTTTGTCATATACCCCATTAAAACTTAAGGGATAAAAAACGATGATTATATGTAAGTATTTCTGTGTAGGGACATCCTTATTATAGCATACGTACGTAATGACAGTGACTATCTATGACCCGGCAGTTTACATAAGTAAATACGTAATTAGATATACAATATTATTGACATACCATATTATTATGAGATTTAGAGGTTTAACAGAAACCTACATAAAAAATTAATACCCATTTCGCATGAAAACACCATCAAACGTGAACGTCAGGAGAAGGTTCTTGTGAAAGATAAAATTAAGGAAATCGAGCAACGAAGATCTCATAATTCTAAAGTAAAACTATTTTTTCCATTTATTAGTCAAAAATAAGGGCTCTATTATTGTTATCCATGATCTATTGTTTCAAAAACGAACTTTATCCTTTACACCGGTCCCTGGTCAGAAAGATATCTTCGACATGACAGGACAAGGTCTGTAGGGTTTATTAGTATATTATACATAACAACTTACAATTGTGACCTTGTAAAGATTACTAGAGGACTGTTTTTATGTATGGATCTTTTTTAATCTCTCATGCAAAAGTATTAGTCAGTTTTGTATGGAACTTTAAGATATCGTAATTATTTTATAAAACAGTACGAGTGAATATTTAATTAGCTTTAATTTTTTATATGGTCAAAGCAAACCATAGTCGAGAGTACGAAAACAAGGTATTTAATAAAGTGATAATATTTAACATTTAAATTTTATTAGAGCGCTGTAAAATTTGGTATGCTTATCTTTTTTTATTTATTTGTTGGCTCTTGTGATTATATATTTGTGTCATAATTTAATATGTCAAAACATGATATCCATATTATATATATAAACACTTATTTTCAAAAAAAGTTTTAATGCTATTTGAAAATTGTCTTATAAATTACTGTATTGGACATTGTTTGTATGTCTAGATATGTCATACGTCATTCCTTGTGAAAGTTACGTAACGAAATGATTTTTGAACAATAAATGTTTTATAAAATATATTCAGATGCGCACCATTATATTTGATCCCGGTGGTGAATACTGGAACATAGTATTTTGCTCTCTTGCCATTGGTTTATGTCAAATTTTTATCGGTGGTACACTAACCACTGTTTTTATGTATATGGTGCATAGAAATTTTTCTGATATACATATATTTTTATGTACATTTGGAGTAAGTAAATCATTAATACAGTAAGCAACATAATATGTTTTCTTGTATTGCTTTGAGAGATATTCAAAGTCCAAGCCATATTTTCAAATCATAAAATCTCAATGTAGTCGTAAAATTATTTAAAAAAACATCAGGCGTAATGAAAAGCAAGAGCTTTAAGAAAATTGTAATTGAAAATATCATTAAAAAATTATAGTTATCAACTGGTGTAATTTTACTAAGGTACACAATGAATAGGTATTGAATATTACAAAGTTATACAGTATATAGAAATATTAAGTTATATTGTAGAATATATAGCAGTATTACGCAATCAGATTTGGTAAATTTGATTTAGGAATATGATTCCTAATTTACAATTTTAATTTCAGTTTCACTTTTTCACAGCTGAGGCAATTTTAAGTTTAAATTATGCGAACGGTTGGTCCACTCCATTGCGGTTACGTCATAGAAGATTTACTCATGTTTTCTTGCAGATATGTGGTTTAACTTGTGTCTTTATTGGAACAGTAATAATTGTAACTACTAAGGGTGTATCAGGAAATGTGCATGGTGTTGTTAGTGAGTTTCTATAAATATATATATAATTTTATTTATCCCAGCAACTTCGTAGTAAAAATAAAACTACATTGATCGTTGAAATTTAAATACTAGTGAAATTTATTTTCATTTAGCTATCATTTTATCAACTCTTTTTCCAAGCCTTTGAGGTAGAGATATACAAAATAAAATCTTCGAAAATGTTTAGCTCTTTCTTGGTATCATGGAGATACTATTTTAAAATTATATGCACTCTTTGTAATTTATTTTTTTAAACGACGTCGCTGTAGTGAATTTATTTTACTTTAAAAATATATTTGCAATAGTGATTCGATTGGATTTCAATCCATTAGGCAGTAACGTGATAACTATTTGTTATCATATCATGTGATTAAAAACATTAAAAAACTATAGACTTCAAACAATCAAATATTTTTATTGTTTTATCATAGGTCATATCAAATTTTACAATGAAAATTCATTTTAAATCTGGTTTTATCGGGTTTTAGTCAATAATCGCGCGGATATCGGCGAAATATTTATATATTTAAATAATCCTTTTTCTCTTTCAGGCGTCGCAGCAACGTTATTGGCTTGTATTACGTTCTTAATGGGTCCTTTTGCTTTGTTAAAAGGGCGTTATTTGAAATTACTCCATTCTACATTCGGAATTCCGACTTTCATTATGTCTTCAATAAGTCTCTGTAGTGGTATATATGAAACTGAGTTCAAGAATTGGTCTGGTTCTACTGTGGTGTTTATTTTGACAGGATTTATAGTTTTTTATACAATTTTTATTGTTGCATCTAGCTTTATAAAATGTATGATGAGAATATAAACGTAAAACATATATGTTTTTTGGTATTTTAATATAATATACTGCTTTAATATTTTTGTTAGTTATGAGCGTACAAAATTTACAAATATGTCTTGATCAATATATAACTTTATCTTTGACAAATTATTTACTTAAAGATAAAACGTATACTAATTAACTATTTATATTATGATTAAATATGTAATATTATAGATAATCTTCAAGTATGACGTCACCGATGTTCATGATTTGTAAATTTTTTGTGTATAGAATAAGATAAGTAATGCAAGATAGCCTAAGTGATTTTTATGTCTTGACAGAAATTTAAGATTATCCGATTTGTCTCGATGTACGTGATGCAAATAATGTAGAGATATGGCCACTTATGTATATCTTTGTCACTGTCAATTATATTTAACTCTTTCTAAAATTATTCGTGATATGAAATATTTATAAACGGGTAATAGTCGTGGGTAGAAGATTATCTATTCCAGGGTTAAGACAATTTAAGCCTTTTAAAGATTCATATACATAAATCATTTTTTGCGATATTAGGTTAGTGTGTAAATCATTCGATGTGCATTGATGGTGCTTTATTTCCAAATTTTGCAAATTTATTAATTAAAATCACCTTTACTGTATGTAGTAAGAGTAATCATTTCCTGAAATTGATAAATTCTAAATAGAAATATGTTAAATATAAAGTATATTTAATCGTGGAAAACAATTATCATATTGAACAATAAAAAGATTTTATTGATATTTTTTTTCAAGTGATATTTTTACAGTAATCAGTTTAATTGAAGCTTTTTTTATACTGCTATGAGTTGTAGTTTTCAATAAAACAAAGAAATGATACTGTACTTTAGGTAAAGGGTAAATGACCAAAATTTATATTATCGAAACATTAATATCGTAAGTGATAAATAGTGTTTGCTGCAGTTATTATGTCTTTCTGGAATTTCACAATCTGTATTGATAAGACATTTACGATTACCTTCTAACTTATCATATAAATAGAATATAAACCAAGATTCACTTTATTTTCGATTTCTATGAAGCATTAAAGTAGTGTAAAGTATACACAGAAATGTCTTCGAATTCCGCTGAATTGAACGGCAATGGCGCTAGGGCTGAGGTAGTTCCTGAAGTTATTTCTGACAACGAAATGCCAAAGATAGTTCCAGCTGGCGATGGAAGTTATTGCATAAAAATATTTCGATCATCGTTGAATTTATTAGCTCATTTATTAATCGGGATAGTAGTCGGTGTGTCACTTCTTTACTGTTTTAGAGGAGGTTTGCCTCTCGGTACTACTGCGATTCATATAGTGTTGTGTGTGATTGGTGTAAGTAATTTTCATTATATTTCAGTCACTTAATTTAGTGAAGGCGTGGAAGTTTGTTATAAAAATAGAAACAATTTCTCATAGTAATTCCTTTTAGTTTCAGTTACTTATGTCCGAAGCAATTTTATCCCTGTGTCCGTATAATGGATGGTCTAATTACCTAAGATTAAAGGATAAAAAGAGGACACACGCAATACTACAGATGGCTGGATCTATTCTCGCGCTTGTAGGATGTTTCATTATGAGCATTTCAAAAAATGTTAATTTCAATACATTACATGGAAAGTTTGGTGAGTGACTATAATACCTTTTTAATAAAAATACGATATTAAATTTGACTAAAAGACTTAAAGAAAACATGATATAATTTTAAGGAAGAATTTTAATCTTAAAATTAAAAACGAAACGGATAAAATTAATTACTAAAAGAATAGATTACTTGATACGAAATAAATATATACATATCTTTGTAACTTATATAAATACTACGTATTAGTTGTAATACGTCATTTAATCTTATCTCATATTAATTACCGTAATAGAAAAAATATACACTTCAATCTAATCTATAAACAATTCAACAAAAAAAAGTTTTTAGTAATAATGTAATAATTTTAATATTTTTCAGCCTTAGTCGCAATGGTCTTTACTGTAGCGGGTTTCTTGAATGGCTGGACATCGTGGTACTCTCAAGAATTACGTAAATGTCTACCGCCCGCTTTGTCCAAAATAACGCATATTCTTTTTGGTACCGTTGCTTACGCAATGTCCGCTGTGACACTGTGCTATGGTTTTAATAAAGGCGGCTTCAGAGGTTGGGCATCGGAAGACTTTGCGTACACTCTCACTGCTTTCACAGGCTGTTTTACTCTGATTTGCATCATCAGCCCACTTTTCAATTGCATTGGGAAAACGGCTGCACTTATAAAATGAAAAACTTTGAATTTGTATATAGAATCTCATAAATCCATCCTTGTGAATGATTTTTGTTTTATCATATTTTTTTATGATGAAATGGAATTATTGTTATTGCATCAATATATTATTTTTATATACATACATAAATATAACAACAATATAAAATTATTTAGGTGCATAAAAGTGATTCCTTTTCTATTATTATTGGTAAGGATATAAGAAAACTCCACATATCTGATAAAATAATCAAATAATAAATAAGATTTAAACCATCGATTACTTATAAAATGTTATGTCAATCTACTTACACAGTTATGTATTGATAATAAGGTAATTTAAGAATATTAAAAAATATGTTATTGTAATAAAATACTATTCATGTCGTTCCAATCAAATTGGTTTCATTTCACTTGACCTTTGAAGTAGAACCTTTCAGCGATCTCATCATAATTTAAGATTTTATTCCAAAATACTACGCAGTTACAATTTTTAGAGATACTTTTATGTGATCTTTTAAAATACTTAGTCGGTTTGAATTTTTAGAATAACGAGAAACAGACAAATGTATCTAATAACATATTATATATAAGTCTATATCAAAGATATATAGTATTGGATAATGACTAGGTTTTTAACATTTAATGAAATCGATGCAGATCTGTCAAGACAAGAAAATAAAGAAATAGTATTATTTGATAAAATTTCATAACCAGTGATGAAACGTGATGGATGTACTATAATTTCTTGATAACTCAACATTCCAAAACATTTTTGATTAAATACAATTTTATAAAAACTGTGCATTTTAATTGTTTTAAATGAGAAAAAGCATATAAATCCTTCTATAAAGTAATTGATAGTTTAGGCTTTTTACTAGTTTCCTATTGATGAGAGTTTAAAAATTAAATAAAATTTTGATAATAATGTCAGTGACAAAATTTTCTCAGCAATTCAATACTTTGTATTTTTATTAGGTTCATTTCGTGGTATCTTGTTAGAATATTAGCCATGGCTGCCTACATTTCCCAAACACCGTAGTCAAATGCCTTTGTTACAATATATATATATATATATATATATATATATATATATATATATATATATATATAAATATATATTTCAAAAGAAGGAAAGGTAGAGAAACTATATGATTTAGCAGGAAGATTACGTCTCCGTGCGAGATCATGATGATTATCCAAAAAAATAATCACTCTGACATATATTTTATTAAAATTTTGAGCCATTACTAAATCATCTGGGATACAAGTGACCTAATTAGAAAATCTAAAAAGAAATGAACATGTCATTCGACGTACAGCCTAAATTTCTAATGTTAATTTAATTCCATTTGAGTATATGTTCTACTAAAAAATATTAAAGGATATTATTTAAAGTAATACTGAGACTGACCATTTCTGAGTTAATACATTTATTCATGATAATACCTTACTTATTTATAGAGCTTTATTATTTTTAACAATTATTCCACTAAGGGAGAAGTTATAGATACAGCTACGGATGAACATCTCATGACTTAAAAAAAAAACCAGCAAAGTACTTTACTTTTCCAGGAACTGTAGCAATTGTACTTGGGTAAATTAACATTCTCAGGGATAGCCACCAGTAAATAGCGTGGCACGTGACTCGAGTCTTCTTTAAAACTTTAGAAATTACTTGCAATTGCCGCAATTAATTAAAAAACATTTTAAAACTGTCGCAACTTAAAAGTACCCTTTCAAATTTTTCCTTAAAATAAGCACATTCCGTTTTATTTATTAACAGTTTATAATAAGCATTTACAAGATGAGTATATAGTTATTGAAATAATTAAAAAAAAAAATTTTGACAGTTGTAAATGTTGACGACTTAAAGAACGTAAAATTAGTTACTCCTGTGTAAGTTAAATCAGTTATACACATAAATTCCATAACAATTTATTGTGTTCTTATTCAAACAAAATAGTTAATAATGAATATCGCCCTCCGGCCGGTTTTTACGAATTTAAGTCAAACCTTTTATTCTATAACCTCATTCATGTTATTAAGTGATAAAAATGCATTCGGAGAATGCACAATGCAGAGCATCATATGACCACTTTCTGTTCCAATAATGGCATATCAAATATTTGTGATCTACATTTTCAGATAGAAACAGCTCAGTTAGTAAACAAAGGATAGCCATGGTGATTTTTATTTTCCGTCTTTCATTTTAACACGTTCAAGAGTGCTTCAAAACTTAATGCTTTTGGCATTGTATTGTAAATCAATTACTAGCTGTGGTATCTACATTATATAAATTTAAGAAACTCACTCTCCACACATTTTCCTTTTTATTAGAAAATATTTTGCCAACTATAATCATTATAGCCGTTAATAACTGCTGCCCCGGATAAACTTCGTCATTATTCCTTATAAAAAAAGAGAGTACGAAGCAAATGTAACGCTGGGTTCCCTCATCCATTTCAGAACGCTCAGATCTTATTAATATTGATCGATTAATCTTCAAGTTTGTACTATGGATTTGAGCTTATTAAGATTTCAACTAGGAATTTAGAAAAACGATTTTACAGATACCAATCATCATATCTAGAATATAATTTTTTAAATTGGTCTTCCGCAAAACACTGTCACATAGCGTTAACAGATAAGAGTTTGCGTGGCTTGATATTGCTAAAAGTAAATACATATAATTGTGTAGGCGCTGTGAAATTCATTTTAACAAGTGAAATATTCATATATCTCATGTACTATTATTTCTAAGTTTTGTTGCTGAAACGTGTTTTTAATAGTGCAGGTATATAGTAGGTTTATAAACTATAAAAGTAAGTCTTAAAATAAGTGACAATAATTCTTATTACAACCCGATAGTCACAGAAAAGAAAGTTTGCATAAGTAATTATAAAATAGTACAGCTTTGAAAATTCCTCAGCGAATATTACGCCTCGGAAAATTCTGGTTCTAAATTCTGTTCATTGTATTTAACAATAATCCATAAAAATCAATCAACCAAATTATTATTATAGTTGTTAATAGATTAGTAGTTTATTATAAAAAGAATATATGTAATTATCGACGGTAATATATGAGATTTATTGTATAGATTTAAACTTATGTGATATTTATTTATCTAAAGAAAATATATTAAATAGTAAAAGGATGTTTGTTAAAATAAAAACTTAACGATGTTCCCATATATTAATGATAATATAAAAGGTTTTGTGTATTCAACATTGAATGTAGAATACGAGGGAAGATGAATTTGCACAACACAAAATCAGGTATAGCACTTATATGTTACTGATATCTTAAAATCTTCTTTGACTTTGTTTAGCTCAATAAATACATACTTCAAGTTAAGGTTCATATCTAACATCGTGAGTGATACGTGAGGTGGCAAACACGGCGAGGCTTCTTTTGTCCCGTGATAACCTAGTCTTTAAATTTAACAAAGATTGACTTAATCGATTTTGACTTGAATATTTCCTTTTGGTTAGCTTTTATGTTGATATTTTGTATTAATTAAAGACGGTAGTTAATTTGACTTGAAAGTAAAAATGCTTAATTGTTACAGAGTATACTTATGGAGATGTGAATTCAAATATGCATAGTTTTTGATAACATCGCTCAGAAATGCAACAGTTTTTTATTAAATTAAATATTTATTTTTCATTGAATTTCATCTATTAATTAAGATTTTATATGAAAAAAATATATTAAACGCATGGCACTAATGGATACAGATCTTTTTTCACCCTCTGTTTTCTGCGGATACGGATAAAAATTTCGAGCAAGTCACTGTCTTCAAATAAAAGGAAATTAGAAAGACAGACAGTAAATAACATATATTTAATCGCCTATGGACATAATATCTCAAATTTGTTCAATTAGTAGGAACAACAGAAACAGTGACTGCGTTGTAGATATACAAAAATGATTATGCGTGTTTATGAAAATTATATTTAAGACGTATTAAAAGTACACCTTAGCAGTAAGATATATAATCTGTAGTTCAAACAAGCAAGTGTGTTCCCGATTTACAGTGCACCTCTGATTTTAGAAAGTTGCATATTTAATGAGAGGAAGTACAGCTGATGGATAAACCTAAGTAATTCAATTGAAATTATGGAAATTGGACGATTCTTTGATATTATAAGCAAAAACCACAAACTGGTTATCTGAACTAAAGTTGCCTTAGAACCTTACTATATAAATCCACCTTCTCTTCATATGTGTTAAACAAAATGAGTTTTAGAAATGAGACAAAACTTTATATCGAGTAATTTCTACGTAACTGACATAATATTCAATTATGTATATGTTTACATAGAATTCTTCTAGGTACCACAAAAGACATTCTGTCTCTCATTTACTGATACTAGAAACCTGTACATTAACTTTGTACTTTACATAATAGATATCGTCATAACGATGACCCTTAGATATAAGATAACGTATCCAGTTTCTCTAGTTATCAAAGGGGTCAAAGGTATAAAGATACCTCGCTTTTCCGTGCGAAAGACGTATAATAAATGTTGTCTACATACTGGAGACAAATTCAAAGCCAAAAAACCAGCAGTAAATATATCAAGCCTTCTGTACAAACATCTTTTGCCAGCGATGGCTTTCTCAGGATCAATTCTCTTTCTAGTGTACTCAAATCTTTAATAACGGAAATATTATTCTTAAATATCTTTTAGCCTTACTGTGTTTTAAAATGTTACATGTTAACACTTGAGTATTTTAGATCTTGCTACATTAAAATCTCAATAATTAAATAAAGAAATCGATAGGTTTATCTTTTCCATTATCGGTTATAATCATTCTTAACATTGACGTTGGAAAAGTTCCTTGAATTGTCATTTTATTAATAGAAAATAAGTAGAAAGTATATAGTATTACAGTGAGGAATTTATGAAATTAATTTTAATCTTCTATAGTTGAGGGTCCACATAAACTAAGTATAAAAATAGCTCGACAGCCATTATAAAACCTTGACTCATTGTGTCGTAGTTTTATCACTGATAGTATTTCTCACGTATTTATGATAACCGATAAAATATTTATCACGATTTTATTTATCTACTCTCATTATTTTATATTATAATTTTAATGTAAACTAAACATTAGACAGTACATATTTATTTACTTATTAGTATCTGTGAAAACTTAATTTAATGATAAATTATTATTAATATTCTCATTAACAGCTATATCTTTGTATGTTCTTTAATCACTTCAATAAACTATCTTTTATACGACGATTGTTTTAATAAAATTATTGACCAAAATATTTAAGTATATAATTGTGACACCTTTATGTAATACTACAAAAACATTTTATTAAATGACTACAATGTTATCAAACAATACATAGTACGTTGTACGTGATACAGCGTGTGATTAAAATAAATAGGCAATATTTAATTGATAATAATCTAACGTATTGAAGGAATACAAAAACTATTTTTATAACGGATACTGAAAGCTTGTTGAAAATTATAAAGTTTTATTTGCATTTAACGGATGTTGTAGGGTATATAAATATAATTATAATACAAGGATATTTAGGTATTCATGCGAGAAATTACAATTGGATTAAGAAATATTTATATAAAATTAAGGGTCAATATCAACTGAATAAAATGGGGGTATTACCAGTGTACATAGTACAACCCAGCAACTTTTCAGAGGCGTTGTAATAAATAAAATACAAAACAAATGCTTCGTTAATGTTATTCTTAACTTTAGTTATGTTCCTATGATAAACAAGTATTAAAAATCTCCAAAGATGATATAAAAACTTTTAGTTAGTGACATATTAACCGAATTTGATCACAATTAAAAGTAAATTCGATTTTAACTTTTTATCAGTTGTTTAGTAGATATTTCGAGCCTCATCCGATCTTCATAAATTCTGTATGATGATTTATCATGATATGTGCCAATGTACATATTATATAAAAGAATTAGTCAAATACAGAATCCCTTCCATTTTGGAATAGATTAAGTGACTTATTTAACTTTCTTCCTTTAAAATATTAAGTAATTTTATTTTTTACACTACATTTTGCATACAAAATATTTGACTACGTATGTATGTCATTAATAAATGAAGTATTTTAATACCCAATATCATTTTAATATATCTGCAATTAGCGATTAGACGCATCTGGCCGAAATGATTAATTAGTTTACTGAGTGTGTCAACATTATATAACTGATTATTATTTATACGTAATGTAAAGAAATTATTAATTTCTTTATATTTGGCGTATATTGAACTTATAATCATAAAAACAAAATGATAGAAAAATCATTACTGTTAATGTGACAATTTTAGAGTGAGGTCTATTAAGTTTTTTAAGTGTATCTTTTGCGTTGAACCAATTACGAGCCATAATGAGATTTTCGCGAGTTTTATTAATTTTAATGAAACTAATATTTTTTGGATTATACTACGCAACTTTCCCTACTTTTTTTTACGCGACTACCGTGATCACGGTTGCTGAGAAGTAGCCGAAACGTCGGGAGTATGTAGTTTTTTACAAAAATAAAGTCACGTAGTATAATCCGAAAAATATTAGTTTCATTTAAACATTAACGAGCCAAATTTCCTTTTTGTGTGTGTTCCAGACTCAAACTTTAGCTTAACTTTTTTAACAATTAACTTTACAGTTATGATAAGTGAATTTTCAATAGTTGTCTTTTTAACACTCCATACTTTTTGTTACGTATCAATAGAGTAAAATGTTTGTACTTACATAATGGCATAAATGCGGGGATTCCTCACTTGTGACCTCGAGGTTTAAAGATGTATGTTTACTATGCAGTTATAGTCACTAGACACGTGCCTGGGTACTCTTAGTAAAGATAAAACGCGCTTCTTTTCTTCAAATTAAACATACAAAACATTATTTATAAAAAATATGAAAAAGTATTATTTAACCGGTTCATCACTCTATTATAATAAACTTTAAATTCACTTGAGAATTAAACAAAATGAACTAATTTAACCTTTTGTTAGAGGGTTTAGTTAGAGGGTTAGAGTTGTTAAGTCACCTTATGAGGTACAAAAAAATGGTCAATCATCATTAGAAATTTCTGATGTACTAGCAAAAATACCGGATCATACTAGAGTCGAAAGCGATAAGCCTGTAATTATTATCTGCTCTAACGTATTATATATATAAAATCGAAGCGAGTTGACGTTTTCATTTCTTAAAAAGTGTAAGAGAAGCGAGTACAAAAATATAGAGTAAAATGAATTCGAACAATATTGATGTTGGGAAAAATGGGGATCCTGAGGGAAAAGTTTCCGAATCAGAATTTGTAAACCGAATGCCGGAGATCTCATCTAATGAGGGGAGTTATGCTTTAAAAATTTTTCGATCCTCGCTTAATATACTAGCACATATATTAATCGGTGTAACGGTTGGAATATCACTCCTTTTCTCATTCGCAAGAGGAATTCCTCTGGGAACCACGATGTTGCATATTGTATTGTGTGTGATTGGTGTGAGTATATTTCGGTGATTTCTTATAGTGGAATATTTATCATTATGAAAAAGTATCAACATTGGTTTTGCTTATATCAGTTTGCGTATTTCCTTTTATTTTAAATCATTAATTTTGATACAGTAACGTTTTGGAATAATTTTTACAAGTGAACGGGAAAATTTTGTATGGAGTATTTAAGAAGTAATATAAGTGTTATAATCTTTATATTTTTGTTTTAGTTTCAATTACTTATGTCAGAAGCAATCCTATCATTGTGTCCTTACAATGGATGGTCAAATTATTTACGTTTAGCAGATAAGAAGAGAGCCCACACCATTCTCCAAGTCGTTGGTTCAGTTCTAGCCCTCGCTGGTTGTTTTGTTATGGTTTTAGCAAAAAATGTGAATTTTAACACGTTGCATGGACAATTTGGTGAGTTATAATGTTATATATAATCTTAACAAAAATGAATGAATTCTTTGAAATAAAAATCAGATAACTAATAATTGTTTTATATTTCCAGCCCTGGTTGCAATGGTTTTCACAGTAGCGAGTCTGTTTAACGGCTTAACATCCTGGTATGCTTTCGAATTACGGAAGTGTCTTCCAGGAAATTTATCCAAGATCACACACATTGTTTTTGGTATCGTAGCCTATGCGATGTCTGCCATTTCACTGTGCTATGGATTCAATAAGGGCTCCTTTAAAAACTGGGCCTCACCGGACTTCACATATACTTTGATAGCATTTACTGGTTGCTTTACACTAATTTGTATTATTACTCCAATCTTTACTTTCTTTGAAAAATCTATAGGATGCTTGAGAAGGTAACATTTTTTTTCATAAGAAAACTGTTTTTATATAATATTTATATATAAGGCATTAAGGTAATAAAGTATTTTTGATATTAAGTAACTATAGTAGTTTCAATTGTTGTACCTTAAGTTTCGGTTTCTCTGTAATGAAATTTTCCTTATATTGCTTAGCAAATAAGATATAGCTATATACATTTCGAGTGTATGTAGACATATAAATCAATACGTAACTGGAGACATCTGCTTCTGTTGACTTAACTTTGATAAATGATATAGCCATTGATAATAGTGATACAAACAAATCATACATATCGTTGCAGCACCTGTATTTGAAAATAAAAATCTATTTTGATACTGATAATTTAACACTTGGTTAATATATACGTATATTTAAATATCTTTATACTATATTTATATCTGTTTATATACATATAGCTTTTCTGATGTACATATTTATTCCGTCACTAATTTAATTATAATTTACACTATGTTATGATTTGTAAATCATTAAGATAATTTTTATACATAATATTCATAATAGTTGTGATTTTATCAATCAATAAATATTGTTAGCAATAAAATTTTACGACATGGGTATTTGATGATTACAATGATTACGCGGAGAGGAACTAATGGTAGTTTTCTTATTCGTGGTTGTGCTGATATAGTAGAATCATTTTTAAAAGGCCATTATGGTAGTCAGGTGGACATACAGATAGTGTCATAACTAATGTTGCTTTCCATTTTTATGTTTTGTTTATAAATAATCATACAGCCATAAAGCCTTAATATTTGATGTATAGCCTATATGATTGTTTGATTTTAAACTAATAAGTGTAAGGTTCGTATTACATATAAAATCCTGAAAGTGACTAGAGTTCAATATCGTCAAGCTCAAATTTTCACTATTAAAACGATTAAACCGAAGCTTTGCCGTTTGCTCTTCAAATGTTCCACTCAATTTTCACATATTTTCCTTGCTGCCATTTCTTTCTTGAACTATTGTTTCAGTAATATGTCAACAGTGCATGGTTTCATATTTATCACACTCTATACTATTTATTATAAAAAAGTATTGCGTCGTCAACAAACAAAAGGAGAATGATTAAAAAACTGAAACAATTGTAGTCTTCATTGAAGTAGAGACTAGTTTTAACAATAACTTGTTTAATTGTAGGAGTAGAAATTGTTACAAATGAAAACTAATACCTACTACTTATGAGACAATCTTTATTCTTTACATATTGACTACCGTTTTGAGTTGACAAAATGAGTTATATAATGAGTAGGATTTATAACGCATACCTTTAAGCAAAAGCCACCAATTAGAAAGTAGTCTGTAAAACTCGTTTTATTTTATTTTTTTTAACTATTATTTCGGATCATACACCTTAAAAATTAATTATAATATATCGAAAGGAAATTACAACAATCGTATTATATAATTATAAGTTCGGAGAATCACGTAATTCAATATTTATAATGTTACTTATGCCAATGATTTTATGAATAACAATAATATATATACAAAAATTAATATGATAACTTATCTTTTGGACGTCAATTGATGAAATTGTTTTCCTTAGGTAACAGAGTGTAATTATACATGACTGTAAATCCTTACTAACCATTCGATGTAGTGCCTAGACCGTAATGAATCATGTAAATAAAAGCCAAGCGGCATGTCTAGTTCATAGTAATGCTAGCGCTATTAGTATAAAAGTGTGATATATTTTATTTTAATTCTAAATGAAAAACAAACGATTGTTATAAGTTTAACGTGTCTACATGTTATCCACTTTTTCCATAGTAACTCACAAATGACTGAACAGATTATTGTTTAGTTCCATTTAAATTTCTTTCTTTTATGTAGATTCTGTCAATCAGATTACCGTTTATCTCTTAAATTTCATAAAACATGTGAATTTCTTTTTGATTATGATATTATTTTTTTAGATTTAGTTCAATGTTATAAATTTTTAGTTATTAGTAATAATTTAAAGATAGAGATGATTTGGCTGCAAATTAAATTATATAATATATGAAAAACATAAGCTTATATTCTAAGAAGTCATGGAACTTCAAGAAAAAAAACAAGAATAACTTGATTAATGTTAAATAGATGTGTAGTATGTAAGTTTTTAAATCTGTATATTTATCTAGTAGTATCTATGACTTATAATTAAATAAAATGGGTATTTATATTCAATATATATTTTTAAATAGAAAAATTAAAAGGAAACTTTTTGCTTTCAACACTTAGGAATTCCTGAAATTCTTTCCTTACTTGAGATAAATTGTATCTATCGCTCGGATACATTTTTGAGAGACTTAGCGAGTCTTGCAGTTTTCCGTTAGAGAAAAGATGTTTAGGGTTCCGTATTGAAAATTGTTTTAGATTTTAATTGTAAGTTAGGTTTTTGAAGTAATATCATACAACGATAAACGAATGGTTTTCGAAATGTGCTGTTTCCTAGATCATTGTCCGTGTTTTCGTGTGGTAGTAATATACTAAATACCTATATATATAAAGTTGTACAGAACTCTTTTTTTGCGAAATAAAAAAATGCAGCTTTTTATAGTGAGAAATACTTTCTTATGCATTGCAGATGTCTTCATAATTTGTAGTGGTGTAATTTTAATTTAAAATAGTTTAATAAGATTTATCGGAATCAGAAATCCGTTTTTTTTATTAATTTTTCACCTTTAATATTTTTCTTATAGTCTGTAAATATTTATTTTTATATTTTATTATGTTGTTGTCATGAAATAGTATAAATATTATAAATAGTATAAATAGTATAAATATTTCCTTTAAATGTAAAATGAAAAACTAAAAAAATTACACTTTTTAGTATCAGAATGTCTTTATGATATTAAGATTGAAATCAAAATAAGTATGACAAAAACATTAGAATATCTTGATAGATATGTTAAAAACATATATATCTTTAATAATAAAATAGTTAATATAGCTTCTATAATTTCTATAGTCAGTAAGTATTTATCAGAAGTAAGTTAGCGAAGGTAACAATGCTCTAATCCTGAATGTGCGTATCGAGGGCTATTACTCTTCTCTGTAGTTTCCTTTAGTCTCAGATGCCATAAAGATAAACTGCTCCTACACGAACTACTTATCTATTGTGATCGTTTGATAGTTACTGTACGAGTGCACTGGATTTGTTTTCGGATGACAGTATGCTTTTTATATTTTCGCAAAATTACAGAAACTTTACTGCAGACAAATATCGAAATATAAAATTCCAAGAATCATATTTCTATACTTTATTTTATTTCCCAATATTTATATGAATGAAGTTTTATGATTTTCGTTTAATATAAAAATTTTATACAAAATTATTTTCTTAAATAGATTTAAATAATTTAACGTAGGAGTATAACGTAAAAATGTTTCGTTAGACGTCGCAGTATTGTGTTTTTATTTATGTTCTTCAAACCTTTTGATTTGAACCCATTCCACAGAAACAGCTAAACAAGGTGAACATTTAACAAATGTGTGAAAATTCCTTAATTATTTTTTTATACCGTACTAAATTCGACTTATTATACCTTTCGAATTGTTATCATGGTAATTGCAAGAAAAATCATATCATTAAATTTTATCTTTTGAATAGGTTTTTCCTTTTTATGTTAACAGGTACGTCCAATTTGTTAAAATAAAAGATTGATAGATAAATCGATACTAAAATAAGACTTTGTTTTTGTATAACGATAGTAATATACAATTGAATTATAGATGGAAATTATAGGAACGAAATGCTTAAGTTGTTCGGGCCATCTTCAGTGTACAATTCATAATTTATTTCTTACCACGTTTTTTTTTAATAATGGGTATATTAATTTGTTTTATTAACAAATTGTATTTCTTAATCTTCAGTAGTTTTACAGACATGCTAGGTTTTTGTAACAAATTGTTATGGAATAGATAATTTTAAAACCATAGGTAAATATAAATATCATGTTGTCACCTTAAAAAAACAATAACTAGTTTATAATTAGAATCTGCTGCTGAGATCCGAATGAAATAACTGGACATTTTCTTTAAAAAAATATAGAATTTTAACAGTAGTCATGGTAAAAAAAGAGCGAAAAAAGGATAATTGTATTTAAAGTGATAATACAATAAATCTATATATATGCTTAATAATGTATATTTTTATTATATATCAATGAATAAAGTCCAGAGGTATTTTTAGGCCGCTATAACACGTGCGTTGATTAGCATACATGTTATTGATAAAAGTGGAGTTATCAGTTACATTAATGTTTTTTCCAATACAATATTAAAATCTTAAGATTAAGTGATAAAGGATTCAAACAAAGAATTCATATTATCGCTAAAAACTTAAAGATTGAACAAGGAAACATTATTTTTTTAGAATAATTTGATTTTGGTATAAAAAATCGCCTTGCATCATATACCCAACTTTTATTTCAACGTCTTTGTAAATATATATTCTGTTCAGTGAAAAAAAAGCATACGTAGGAATAAAATTAAATTTTATACTCCCACATAAAAACTGATACGAGGAAATTATATTAGCCCGCGTAATCAGCAAATAACAAGGTATGTTTTATAGCTGCGTGCAGTTCACGTTATGAGGGTGCTTCTACAAAGGTAATTTGAATATTAAGAATATTTTGCACTATCATAAGCCGGGCAAACATTGAAACGTTGGGACCGTAATATAGCGGAGTTGGTCAGCACAATTAAAGGGTCCCATTTGGGCCTCTAATGGAATTAAATCCAATTAGATTTTAGGGTTACGAGGTGAAGTTTACAGACGGAAAATAAATAACGGCGTGTTACAGCGTGCACCTGTTTAGATTATTTGGTTGGAAATGTATTTGTATCTGTCGTTTGAGATGAAATGTTTGTTATTTGTTTGGGTTTATTGAAAACTTGACAAATTGAACTTGGTTGTAAGTAAATCTTGTTATTTAGTATACATTTCGGTATATGCTTAGATATTTAAATATTTTCTAAGTCAATAT